AGGCTCCAGGCTCTGAGCTGGCAGTCAGCACAGAGCCCGACACAGGGCTCGAACCCACGAACCGCGAGATCATGACCTAAGCGAAAGTCAGACGCTTAACTGACTAAGCCACCCAGGCGCCCCTCCACTAGTGAGTCTTGAAAACAAACTGACTTGCTGTCAGCATTTGAAAAACTAAAATAAAATGCAATAGAGTTAAAAATATCAGAGTAAAGGTAAGTTTTTCTTCATGAGAAAATTTTCATTTCAGCAATCCCTACCAAAATAACACGAGCGTTCTTCACAGAGCTGGAACAAATGATCCTAAAATTTGTATGGAACCAGAAAAGACCCCAAATAGCCAAGGCAATCTTGAAAAAGAAAATCAAAGCTGGAGGCATCACAATCCTGTACTTCAAGCTGTATTACAAAGCTGTAATCATCAATACAGTATGGTACTGGCACAAAAACAGACACTCAGATCAATGGAACAGAATAGAGAACCCAGAAATGGACCCACAAACGTATGGCTAACAAATCTTTGACAAAGCAGGAAAGAGTATCCAATGGAAAAATGGCAGGCTCTTCAGCAAATGGTGTTGAGACAACTGGACAGCAACATGCAGAAGAATGAACCTGGACCACTTTCTTACACCATACACACAAATAAACTCAAAATGGATGAAAGACCTAAACATAAGACAGGAAGCCCTCAAAATCCTATAGGAGAAAACAGGCAACAACCTCTTTGACCTTGGCTGCAGCAGCTTCTTACTTGACATGTCTCCAGAGGCAAGGGAAACAAAACTAAAAATAAACTATTGGGACCTCATCAAAATAAAAAGCTTCTGCACAGCGAAGGAAACAATCAACAAAACTAAAAGGCAACCTACAGAATAGAAGATAATTGCAAATGAAGTATCAGATACAGGGTTAGTATCAAAAATCTATAAAGAACTTATAAAATTCAACACCCAAAAAACAAACAATCCAGTGAAGAAATAGGCAAAAGACACAGACGCTTTTCCAAAGAAGATGGCTGACAGACACATGAAAAAATGCGCAACATCACTCATTATCAGGGAAATACAAATCAAAACCACAATGAGATACCATCTCACACCTGCCAGAATTCCTAAAATCAACAACTCAAGCAACAACAGATGTTGTGGAGATTTTGCAAGAGCATGCAGCATGGCCCCAGTGAAGCTTAATGGCACACAAATGAGTTAGGCCCATTATTTATGTGTAAGGCTCTTTACTGACATGTTGATGAGAATGCAGAGAAAGAGAAACCCTTTTGCACTGCTGGTGGGAATGCAAACTGGTGCAGTCACTCTGGAAATGGTATGGAGGTTCTTCAAAAAATTAAAAATAGAACTACCCTATGACCCAGCAGTTGCACTACTAGGTACTTATCTAAAGGATACAGGAATGCTGTTTCGAAGGGGCACATATACCCCAATGTTTATAGCAGCACAATCAACAATAGCCAAAGTATGGAAAAAGCCCAAACAAATGTCCATCGATGGATGAGTGGATAAAGAAGATGTGGTATATATATATATACACACACACACACAATGGAGTATTATTCAGCAATCAAAAAGAATGAAATCTTGCCATTTGCAACTACGTGGTTGGAACTAGAGGGTTCTATTATGCTATGTGATATATGGAACTTAAGATACAAAACAGATGAAGATAGATGAAAGGAAGCAAAGATAATATAAATACATGGAGGAGGACAAACCATAAGAGACTCTTCAATATAGAGAACCAACTGAGGATTGCTGGAGGGGTTGTGGGTGGAGGGATGGGCTAAATGGGCAAGGAGCATTAAGGAGTACCCTTGTGGGGATGAGCATTGGGTGTTATTTGTAAGTGATGAATTACTAAATTCTATTCCTGAAATCATTATTACACTATATGTTAGCTAACTTGGATGTAAATTTTAAAAATAATAATAAATTTTTCATTTCATGTTTATATATGTATGCATTATGATATTTAATAAATTCCTTACTCTCAATCATGGTCTGAATTTTCTTTTGTGGCCCAAATTTTGAAAAACTCTGCAGTGTTACAAAAGATATGTACAGGGGTGCCTGGTTAAGGGTCCAACTTTGGCTCAGGTCATGATCTCACGGTTCATGGGTTTGAGCCCTGCGCTGGGGCTGACAGCTAGCTCAGAGCTTAGAGTCTGTTTCAGATTCTGTATCTCCCTCTCTCTCTGACCCTCCCCTGCTCACGCTGTCTCTCTCTCTCTCTCTCTCTCAGAAATAAATAAAAACATTAAAAAAAGATATGTACAAAACTACTTAATGATACAAAAAGTATTCAAAAGGTATTAAATTATAAAATGGCTTGCATATGTTACCATATGATCTAATTTCGTGGAAATCCAAATCAAAGCTCTGTGAAAAATGAAAAATAAATTTACCAAACAGATCATTCAGTGTTTTCTTCTTTATCTATATTTAAAAATTTTCTACAATGAATATGTCTTCTTTAAACATATTTCTTGGGGCACCTGGGTGGCTCAGTTGGTTGAGCATCCGACTTTGGCTCAGGTAATGATCTCACACTTTGTGAGTTCGAGCCCCATGTAGGTCTCTATGCTAACAGCTCAGAGCCTGGAGCCTGTTTTGGAT